ACGGGGTTTCACCATGTTGACCAGGATGGTCTCGATCTCTTGACCTCGTGATCCACCCGCCTCGGCCTCCCAAAGTGCTGGGATTACAGGCTTGAGCCACCGCGCCCGGCACAGCTCCAGAGTTCTAAATGAGAGGCTAATATGGTCATGCACTATATGCAGGGGGCGGGGCCTCTCTGAGCTAGAGGGCTTCCTGGCCCAAAAGAGGGAGAGAGGGCACCTGTCCACCCTCACGGTCCCTGTTCTCTTTTGCCTCTACTTCCCTGATCTCCTCTCTCACATTCCTCACCTTCCCTTCTCCCCTGTCCTTCCTACCCAGCCCTGAAGATCCACTTGTCTTCTGAGACCAAGACCGTCCTGGAGGAGTTTGGTGGTTTTGAGCTGGAGCTTCGAGGGGATGTAGAAATGAAGGTAGAAGGGGGAAGCCTCTGCCCTCCTCACCTTTTGGGGTCCTAGAGGGAGTTACCTTTCTCAAGCAGCCAATGATGCTCCCATCCCTAAGGCTCTCATCTGACTGGGGAAAGGTCATGTGCCATTCCCCAGCCCACCCTCTTCTTTTTCCCTCCAGGGCAAAGGCAAGGTTCGAACCTACTGGCTCCTGGGGGAGCGAGGGAGTAGCACCCGAGGCTGACCTGCCTCCTGTCCTGTCCCTCCACACCTCCCTACCCTGTGCCAGAAGCGACAGAGGTGCCAGGCCTCAGCCTCGCCCACAGCAGCCCCACTATCACCAAAGGATGGAAGAAGTTTGAATAGCTCAGGTGTGCTGACCCCAGTGGAGACACCAGATAGGAGGACCTGAGAGGGGACTGGCATGCTAGGGGGAACTCAGAGCTTACAGGCTGGGCCTAGCCCACAGCCACGCACAGGGGCGCACACACAGACACATGCACTTGCTCTCCACCTGGACGCAGGCCAGGCTGGGCTGTGGATCCTTATCCCTTCACCTCCCCGTGCTCTCCTCCCTCAACCTTGTGACCCTGTGACTTATTGGGAAGAGAAAGTCACCTGAAGGGGAACGTGAAAAGAGACTAGATGAAGTGAGGGCAGGGGAGCCCACATTTGGGCCTGGCCATAATACCCACCCCCCCAATCCCTCCACCCAGCAGTGGACACAGTGAACAGGGAGAAGAGCGGTGGCGCACAAGGGGTGGGGGCCTGTATGCCTTGCTTCTACTGTGAGCAGAGACGATTAAAATCTTTATTCCAGTGACAGTGTCTCTTCTTGAGGGAGAGAGGGTTGCCAGAAAACAGTCAGTTCTCCACTCTCTACTTCAAATAAGACTCTTGCTTCTTCTTCTACAAGGGAATAGAAGAAAAAAAAGACTGTCGATTTTTTTTTTTTTTGAGATGGAGTCTTGCTCTGTCATCAGGCTGGAGTGCAGCGGCGAGATCTCGGCTCACTGCAACCTCCAACTCCCGGGTTCAAGCGATTCCCCTGCTTCTGCCTCCAAAGTAGCTGAGACTACAGGCATGCACCACCACACCAGGCCAGTTTTTTGTATTTTAGTAGAGACAGGGTTTCACCATATTGGCCAGGATGGTCTCTAGCTCCTGACTTGTGATCCACCTGCCTCAGCCTCCCAAAGTGCTGGGATTACAGGCGTGAGCCACCGCAATCGCCAAGACTCTTGATCCTTAAGCTGGAAATGCAGGCTCTGAGAGTAGTAACAGCCTATGAATTGCCCAACAGTGCTGAAACTGGTTTAAAGACACATTTACACCCTTAAGAATTATTATTCTTTGTTTTTCTTTTTTTTAATTTTTTATAAAAAGACAATGTTTTACCATGTTGGTCAGGCTGGTCTTGAACTCCCGACCTCAGGCGATCTGCCCACCTTGGCCTCCAAAATGCTTGGATTACAGGCGTGAGCCACCACACCCGGCCAAGAATTATTATTTTTAATTATTGGCCAGACGAGGTGGCCTACACCTGTAATCCCAGCACTTTGGGAGGCCGAGATGGGTGGATCACCTAACGGCAGGAGTTTGAGACCAGTCTGGCCAACATGGCGAAACCCTGTCTCTACTAAAAATACAAAAATTAGCTGCACGTGGTGGTGCATGCCTGTAATCCCAGCTACTTGGGAGGCTGAGGTAGGAGAATCGCTTAAACCTGGGGGATGGGCCAGGCGCGGTGGCTCAAGCCTGTAATCCCAGCACTTTGGGAGGCCGAGGCGCGTGGATCACGAGGTCAAGAGATCGAGACCATCTTGGTCAACATGGTGAAACCCCGTCTCTACTAAAAATACAAAAAATTAGCTGGGCATGGTGGT